GCCCCAGGGGCTCAGACTCTGAAAGGGGGGGCCCCTTGTCCTCAGTGCTCGGAAAGGGAGCGTTTAGCTTCCCTCGACCTCCTGAAATACTGGCCTTGACCTCACCAGATGGTGTTGCTACAGCTCAGTGAATAGACGCACAAGTCCGGAACAAGAGCCTGCGGCTGGGGAAGCAGGAGGGGGCTGCCTGCCCTCTGGCTCCTCGCTGGCACGTGTGCACCGAGGACAATGACATCACTCCCCACAAAAGCCCTGCAAAGTAGGGATCCCTGTGCCCGGAGAAAACCAAGGCTCAGAGAGATTTTTGTGACTAGTGTAAGGCTACCCATAGCTAGTAGGGGACCATGCTGGGGTTTGAACTCACTTCTGCATGGCTCCAAAATCCACGTCTTAGGGTGGACAGTAGAGCATGGGCTGCCCAAGTTCGTGCCCCAGTGGCCCCATCCAAGTTCTTTAACCCTCTGGGCTTTTCTCGACTGAAAAATCAAGTACAGGAGCAGTACCTGCCTTACAGGACTACTGTGCATGGAAAGGCACTCGGGATGTGTCCGCACCGAGCAGGTGTGAGCACTCACTGACCACCCCAGGTGATGGCGCCCATCAGAGCCCAGCCAGCGGCTCCCCACCCTGCCCAGCGGCCCAGCCACGTCCACGTGTCCTTGTTCCTTCACCTTCTCTCCCGGCAGCTGCCTGGAGGCTCTTCCCCAGGTCCCGGCAGCTCCCTCCCTCCCTCCTTCCAGTCTCTGCTCAAATGTCACCTGCTCACTGAGGCCCTCCCTGAGTCTCCCTTTCGAAATGGCAACCCCCACCCCCCGCCCCGGCACTGTCCACACCCTGACCCCTCTTTGTCTTTCCAGCATCTGGCAGGCAGCCTGCTGTGGGTTTTCCTTCTCTAGCATGGCCACCGCTCCTCCCCCTTTACAATGCCTGCTCCTAAGGGAACAGAGGCGACTTCCGTCTGTTTCCTGCATAGCTGTATCCCCAGTGCTTCTCAGCAGAGTGCTATGTTGTCCCCTACCCGTGGATATTTGTCAGTGCCTGGAGACATTCTGGGTTGTCACAATGGGTATGGGAGGGTGCTACTGGTAGCTAGTGGGTAGGGAACTAGGATGCTGCTGAAGATCTCACAATGCACAGGACAGCTCCCTCCCCACCAAACAAAAGAATAATCCAGTCGCAAATGCCAGTAGTACTAAAGCTGTATCTGCATTACTTAGAACAGTAGCTGGTACGTGCATAGTAGGTGCTCAATAAATGCTTGTTGTGGAAGAATGAAGGGCCTCTGTCACCACTGTTGTCATCATTATTATTTAAGAACAGATACGGTCAAGGATAATCCTTAAGGACGGTGTCACATGAGAGCTCATGGCCAATAGGTCATACTGTGACCTGTAACTTCTTCCTTTTGGTCGGGGCTCTGCCCTCAGGAGCGCCCAGAATGGGCTGCAAACTGCTCCTTGCTGGGCCATCATGAGCAGGACCAGTCCACGTTGTGAAGCCCCCTGAGAGCTCAAGCGATGCCAGCCTGGCCCAGGGGCTGCCCAGCAGGGACCGTCAGTCCTCACCCCCTTGTCAGCCTAACACTTGCCCCCACACTGAAACACTCAGGACCTCGTGCTGAGCTAGGCCAGGAGTCACCTCTGCAGGCCTTTCAGGGTGACCCCAGCCAAATCCTGCACCCCCAGGCCTCTCTCAGCCCAGGAGACTCGTGGGTGCCGTGAATTGTGCTCATTGGGCTCCTTTCAGGAAAGGGCAGAAGGGGGGTACGGGGATATCCAAGGAGGCACAGGTGTTGAAACCTGCCCTTGCCAAGCACAGCCAGGAAGGGGATACTTTGTTATCTTGCTGACCTAACAAATTACAACTGACGTTCTTTTTTAAGAGATGGGGTCTCGCTATGTTGCCCAGGCTAGTCCCAGGCATGAGCATAATTCACTGCAGCCTCAAACTCTGGGGCTCAAGGGATCCTCCAGTTTCAGCTTCCTAGTAGCTGGGACTACAGGCATGTGTTGCCACACCTGGCGACCACTGACAATTTTAAAGAGCCAGTGCAAGAAGCCCAGGCTCAGTCCTCACCCGCTTGCAAATGCGCAGAACACCTGGGACGCATGAAACACCACACGGCTGTATTCTCAGGGGAGAGTCGGGCAGTATGAGAGGGAAAGACGCTTTTGCTTTGGGGCTTATCTCACCTTCAGAACAGGCTGCCACAGCCCCGCCCCCAGCCATAGGCCCGTCACTGGCACCCAGCCCACGCTCCCACTGAGAATTCCCACTTGAGATTCACAACTTTCCCTTCCTGCTGCCTGCCCCTCGCCAGCTCCCCAGGCCTCTGTCCCTGGGGCCTTCTTGGGCTCGGCAGCTGGGCCTTTCTCTGCAGAACTGTGAGGCTGGCAAAGTACAATCTCCTCTCTCCTGCCCGCCCCTCTGATCTTCTGCCCTCTCCCTCCCCTCTCCAAGGTCCTGAAAGCTCCCAAACTAATCATTGGCGCCAAGGCTTACTAGCTGACATAAGCGGGTACAAGGTCATGAGCTAAAGGAATGAGTCTCTAAGGGTGGAATATTAGGCATCAGACAGCTAGGTCTAGGGGAACAGGATGATATTTGGGGGGCAGTGGCTTTCCTAGTGTGCCCGGCAGCCACATGTATTTGGCCCCAATTCTGCCAGGGAATAAGACTGGCCCCAAACCCAGGATGGAATGACAGAGCAGGCACATGCCAAGCAACCATGTGGAAATGAGCCACGAAGCTGTGTGGGGCAGGCCCAGGAGGTCAATGGCTAGAAACTAGGGCCAGACATGCCAGCTGCCCCCAGGAACAGGGCTTGGTGGGGACTGGGTTACAACCCCTCCGTCCTCACTTGCTGGGAATTTGAGCTCAATCTGTGAGCTACCCTGCTGTAAAAATTCACAGCACTTCCCCCAGCTCGAAGGACAGCGTGAGGGTCTTAGCTACACAGCCACCCTCTCAAGTCCAACGTTTGAGAGTCAGGCTGGGGGCTGGAGAAAGCAGAGGCCACAACGCCAGCCCTGAAAACCATCAGTGAACTGGACTCTGTCATCTGTGACCTTTCTTTACTCTCACAACACCCTGCTGTTCCCATTTTACAGAGGAGGAAACTGAGCCTCCAGGTGGTTCTATAATTTGGCCAATGTCATACAGTTGGTCACAGAGCTGGGTTTGGAACCCACGTTTTCCATAACAACCTAAGGCCGTCTCTTCCAACCAAGTGTGAACGATGTGGCTAACCTCCCCTTGCCCTGTGTCCCCTCCCCAGCTCCAAGTCACAGAACCCCAACTTACAAGCCTGAGAATGGCAGAGCTCTCTCTGGTGGTGCCAGGGTTACAGCCAGCCAGGATGCTGGGTTCTTGTGTCACCAACAGCCCGATGCATGGCAGGGCCACTTCCCTATCTTCTGTGGACCCGGACAAGTGGGGAGAGGTAGCCCTCAACTACCCAGCCCTTCAGTGTACCCACTGCCTCCAAATGACAAGAGGGAGATGGACGTTTAAGATTGGGATGTGTCTGGCACAAACAAATTCCACCCATTTAGGCACCCTGGGGACCTGGCCGAGAGATGGGATGCCCCCAGCTACCTCCAGATGCCACGTCAGCAGAGAAGACAGGCAGAGCTGCGGGGCATCTCAGGCGGCAGGAGACTTGGGCATGAGGGCCTGGCTTTTGGGTGTAACAACGAAGAGGTGTAACCAACCGCAGGCACCAAGATGCCTGTGGTCCTGAGATGTCCTGAAACCAGGAAATCAGGTGCAGTCCGGAGTCCCCCCACCCTCATGCGCGGTGCAATCCTGGCTGTTAATTCATCAAGCCCCGGGGTTTCTGGAGATGGAGGTGAATGGGCTTGAGGTGGCCAGAAGGGGACCCCCATCTTGTGCTCCCCAGGATGGATGTGGAGCAAGAGCCAGCGCTGGGGACAGCCCGTGTGTGATTATCTGTCAAACAGAGACAGGCTCCCACTTGGGGACCCTGTCCTAGGTCCTGCTCTTGCCCAGTCACTGATAAACCAGTGCAAAGTGGGCAAATCCCTTCCCTTCTCTGAACAAGAGCCCCGTCAACCATAAACGGGGTCATCAAGGTGCCTGGCAGGTACCAGGGGTCACGTGGGAGCCCCCAGCACACGGTCAGCACTGGAGCAGCTGGTCAGAATACCAGCCTCTTTCCTCCCCCACCAGGTTCCCGGGAACTCTCTCTAAAGTCCCTTTTAGTCGCAGGAAGTGGTAATTTGATTTCACTTTAAAATTTTTAACAAGCTGCATCTTCATCAATTACCTAATTAGGATGAGAGCAAAGAGACAGATCAAGTAATTAAAGTTGGGGGGGCTCTGGAGTGACTGGTGGAATGTCCCCGTGGGTGCCTGAGTGTTGATACCTCACACCCAGTATCTGCTGCGGGGTCCCCGTTGGGCCACCCCCTTCTCCCCCGCGTGTCCCTCTCTGCTGCGTGGCTCCCCGCACGGACACTTCTTCCTCCCACGCCGCCCGGGCATCCTCGCTGTCCCCGCGGCCAGGACGGAGGAGTCCCGGGAAAGCAGGTCCCACCCGCCCGGGGGAAGTGAGGCCGCCCCGCAGGCTGCGATAAGCAGGGAGTTCGACCCGCTTAGACTCGGCAGCCCAGCTCAACAGGTAGTGGTGGGCTTTCCCTTCCCGCATTATCCAGATAATTTCTGCCAGCCCCACTCCAGTCGGCCGTGGGGAAGTCTGCCCTCAGCTTTGGAGCGGGCAAACCGCCTAGCAGCGTCTGCAAAGAAGGGGCGTCATCACCACCACCACCCCCGCCACCGCACAGCCTTGAGACAGACAGACAGACACACGCACGCGCGCGCGCTCTCCCACCGCCCTGCCCCTTCCAGGCAGCGCTCTCGCGGGGGGCTCTCTGACCCCGCTCCTGGCTACGCGGTAACGGGGGGCAGCCCGGCGCAGTGGCCGCCGCACCGGCGGGAGACCGTCCCCCACCGGTCTCCCCGCTCTTCCAGGCTCTTACCTCGCCGGAGCGGCCGCGACCCCCGAGCGAACGTCCCGCGCCGGCTGGCTGGGCGCGCGGGCCGGGAGGTACCGCGCGAGGCTGTCCCGGGGCGCCCGCCCCGTCCGGTCAGCCCGAGCCGCTGGGCGCCAGTGACCGTGGCCGCGGCGGCTGCAGCTCGCGTCCCGGACCCCGCGAGGGAGGGGCCGCGGGGGCGGGGCCGTGGGCGGGGCCGGAGCCGTGGGCGGGGCCTCCCCGCCCCGCGCCGCCGGCTGCGAGAGGGCTTGAGGCCCGAGCGGATGGTGCGGTTCACCCGAGCGGTGAGCGCCTCTGAAGGAAGAACCCTCGTGGGGTTTGCGGGTGAAGGGTGGGGCTGGGCTGGGAGAGGAGAGGCCGCCTAGAAGGCTTTCTGGCTGAGAACCTTGCCTTGAGTCAGACTTACTTACCTCCAGATTCCAGCTGCTGCTTTTCAATAACTGATGAGGAGGAGGAGGGGGAGGACGGCACGACGCCAGCCAGTATTCGCTGAGCACTCGCTGTGTGAGTGTGCCAGGCATTTCTCAAACAGCTTTGCATGCGTTAAGTCATTTAACCCTCACACAAATTTTGTTTTACAGATGAGAAAACGGAGGCCCAGAGAGGTGAAGCGATCTGCCTAAGGACACACAGGCGGGAAATGGCAGAGCCAGGATTGATTGCAGCTCGTCTGGCTGGCTCCAGAACTGTGCTTTTAAATCCCCGCTATGCTTTTTTCCCTGCGTGGCCTTGAGCAAATTGTTTGCCCTTCCAAACTATAAAATGGAAATATATGTACAAAAACGGTAGCAACTAACATTTTACAATTTCTTCTTTCTGCAGCTTCTATGTGTCCTGTATTCTCTGGGCCCTGGACACCCAAGAGGTGCTCAACAGATATTTGTTAATCAGTGGCTGATCTGAAAGCTGCAGCTGCAGCCAGGGTGGCCCATTTAGCCAGGGTGAAGAACCCAAGGGTTAACCCTTCCTGGCTTGAATATTTTTCCCATCCTCATTTATCCGAAGTGGCAGCCTGATCAATGTCCTTGTCCAACAGATTTGTGCAACTTGCTCACTGACCACAGCTTCTGCTGTAAGAGAGAAGGGCCCCCTTCAAGGACAAGCCACCAGGACGTAAGCTTGGCCTGCCAGGCTGTGGGAGCTTCCCCTAGAAGACCTGTAAAATCCCTACAGACCACGGGGCAGTCGAAGACATGGAGTGCAGACATGTTTGGGAAAAAAGTAGGTTGCAAAATAATGAGACATCGGCAGTGAACGTGTTTGTTAAAAACTGTAGGCAGCAGTGTTAAAGACGCTCCTATGGTGCTGAGGTCTCCTGACATGGGGGGACATTGCCACATGTGGATGTGGAGTTGGGACGACTGAAGGGTTTTGGAAAGGATACCAAGTTTCTATTCACAGCGTTTTAGGCCTGTGAAATTCCCAGCTCTTTCTCCCTTTTCCCACCTGCCCCAAGAGCGTCTCTCCCCCCAGAACTCTCGGATGGAGAGGCCTCACCCCGTGGGTGGGTGTCCACATCTCTCAATTGGGTTGGGTGCCCATCAGTTTCTCAACCTCTTTCATCCCCAAACTCTTCCAAATGTGCTGATTCCTTCTGCATGTCTTGCCCCCTTCCACACTTGGAGAGCTCCTATACATCCTTCAAGATCTCATTCAGTTTGGTCCCTCTGACCCAAGAATTGACTTCTTCCTCTCCTCGGGGCCTAGGAACTTCTTTTCCAGCCCTCTCCAGTGTGGGAATGATGACTTTACCATCTGTCTCCCCACCTATGCAGTGAGCTCCTTAAACAGAAGGCCCGGCACATAGTAGGTGCACAGATAGTATCTGCTGAATGCATGACTATAAGTTGGATATATTTCCCCAAGACTAAAGCTGTCAAGGAGAAAACCACCAAACAAAACCTTGGGTGGAGCTGGATCAGTGATATGAAAAGATGAAATCGGCACAGCAGCCAGGAGATGCACCTTTCTCAAGGTCTGCAATTAACATTCCCAGAAAGGCCAGAGAGGCTGGCCTGGGATCCATGTCCTCCAGCAGGGTCACCTCTGCTGGGCAGCAGCCATGTCCTCCGGCATGTGTGTGTATGGGCTGGGTCCAAGGCAAGGGAGCAGCCTGCCTGGCCATGGGTGGGAGTGGCTGGGGGAGGGGTTTTCTTCCCTCCCAGGCTGATCGTGGGATCCAAGAATGCCCACTTGCTTCCATCCCCTCTGTGATCTGTGTGACTCTGTTCTCTGGATCATCTCGCAATGCCTGTGGTGAAGTAACAGATCAAGTGCCCGCAGAAGACACCCTTTAAAAGGGCAACTAGCTTCCAAGGGTGCTGAAGTCCCTCCCTAGTCTTCTGCCCAAGGCAAGTGGAGGAGACCTCAGGACATGGGTGACTGAGAGAAAAGAGATTTGGGTTCCACGGAATGAGGTCTTCATCTGGCTCTGCCCCAACTAGCAGTGTGACCTTGGACAAGTTACTTAACCTCTCTGAGCTTCAGTTTACTCCTGTATACCCAAGGCTGGCGTCGTGGGTGCGTAACTTACGTAGTCACACAGCCCTGCTCTTACGAAGGCTCTGTTTAATGATCTGCTTTTGCCATGCTGAAATTCTTAATCAGTTTTAAAAAAGGGGCTTCATTTTAATTTTTGCACTGGATCCCACAAAATTATGTCACTGGTGCTGGTGATAACACCAGTGTCACTGGGTTATTGTGATACCTCCACAAGCTCGTGCTTGCATGAGCGTCTGACACATAGTGGGCTCTCAACAGAAGTTAGTGTCTCTTCCTCTGATTTGGCCGTCAAGGGCGAATAGAAATTCACCAGGTAGGCAGAGGGGTGGGAAGGGAGTTTCGGGCAGAGGGGCCGCATGGGCAAAGGTCTGAGGATCTGAAATTACACTCGGGGAACGGCAAATGGCGAGGGGGAGGGCAGGGGTGGGAAGCAAAGGAGATGGACCTGAAGAGACAGGCTGGGGCCAGAGGCGAAAGGCCTTCTGGTTCTTTTAAGGGGTTTGGCCCTCAGGCCCGGGGACCTGTGAGCAGGGAGCCTTGGGAAGGGAGGGTGGGTGGGCACTGCACGCCAGCATCCCTACCCCGCGCTCAGCTGCGGACTATTCAGATAATGAGACAGGCAGTGGATGGCGTGGGCGGGAGCTCCGCTTGGAGGCTGCCAATACGGCGTGTTTGAGACGTTTGCTGTAGACATAATGGGAAAATGCTGTAGGTGTAAAAAGCCAACAGCTGTGCTTGGGGACTTGGGGACTCCAGGCCTGATGAATAATGGAGCAGCTCTTCTTCCCTGTGTCTCTTTTTCTGTCCTTTCAATAATTCATGTATTCCCCGTTGGTTGAGGAGTTTCACAAAACCACAGCTTTCTCTGAATCCTGGGCCAATCTGGGCCAATCTGATGGCTTCATGCATTAGGTCTAAATTAGAAACACACACACACATGTGCGCATTCGGCTCTGCAGAATGTGCCTTGTGTGCGTGACCAGGAAGATGCCCAGTGATGTCTGGAAGGAGGAAAGGTCTTCCAGCCAGGCAGCCTCCTCCCAGCCCCTTGGAGGTGCAGGTGGTGACATGTGTCACTTCCAGGAGGAAGCTTTTGGAGCCACTGGGTACTGTGCCAACCTATTCTCCCTGCCTTTGGGATTGTGGAGACAGGAGTCAAGGCTCTGTTATTCCAAATTCCCATGTGATGACAAGAAGTACATCCTCCTTGCTGACCTCTGATAGACATGTAGCATGAGCTGTGTGTACCTTCAAGTACACCCTGACTCATCTATTTAGAAGCAAATGGGCGACACTCCCAGTATAGTTAGGGGTGTGCTGGGGAATCCCAAAGCGCAGATCTAAGTGGTCATCATCACTGATGCGGGACGATCGGTACAGATGAAGGCAGCTGCCATAGTGCTGGAGATGGGGGAGATCAGAGTTCTCAGCAGACCCAGGCCAAGTTTGAAAGGGGCATGACCTGAAGGTATGCAGGGCGTGTGTGTGTGTGTGTGTCAGGGGGTTGGGGGAGGTGGAGGAAGGCCCCATGAAGCTGGGAGGGTGTGGGTGGGCAGAACTGGGCAAGGCCAGATCAGGGGGACTGGGCTCTGTGTGGAGTTGCGCCTGTGATACTGATAACACGCCACACAGTCTGTGCTTTCCGTGCGTTAAGGCATCTGGTTTCATACAACCCCATGAGCTAGGACATTACCAGCTGCTATTTCCAGATGAGGAAATGGAGGATTAAAGAGGTAATTTGCCCTAGAAATGGCCAAATTACAGTGCTCAAAGGCGAATAGCGTTTAGGCTCTGTCTGCATCGGCATCGCCCATGCCACGAGTGGGCGCGACAGCCAGAATCTTTAGGCCGCTGTCAGGGCCCAGGCACGCAGGGCTGGCCTCGGCTGGGGGGCCGGGGACCTGTTTCAGAGCCGCACGGTCCGGATGGCTCGGCACACAGGGAGGTGGAGGCGACAGGGTCAGCGGCCAGGAGGCACAAGGAATGTCGGGCTTCAGAAAGCAACAGACTGATTCTCCATTCTTCGTCCTGAAGGAGGCTGGGTCACCAAGTGGTACTTCCTGTCTGAGCTGGTTGATGGGGACCTGGAAGGCGGGACTGCGCATTTGCATATGCTAACCTCTGGGCGCGATGCTTACCCACCTGCTCTTCTGCACCATGGGCTTAGTCCTGTACGTTTCCCTCTTTTCCCCTTGGACTTGACTTTGCTGGTGTGTGTGGGGATGGGGTCTGTAGGAACACAGGCTCTACCTCACCCCTCCCCTGCTCGTTCAGCCCTCGCCACATCCCTCCTTTTCCCACCACCTCTCTGTTCAGTCTGAGCTGTTCCCCAGGTCCCCTCCCAGCTAACACCCCTCTCCTGTCCAGGGCCTGCCAAGTGCCTTGTCAGGGTCGCAAATGGAGCCTGCTAAGAACCGATTTCATTTCTTCATCGAGAGTGTGCTCTCCCCTCTTCTCGATGCGGCAGAGTGTGAAACCTGGGATTGTTCACACAGCCATCCGCGTCCCTGCCGGGTGACTGAGCAGCCGCTTGTACTCTCACTGGCTGTTCTCGCTGCCCTCCCGGCTGCCCCAAGACCAGCTGTTCAGCCTCTGCGCTCATCGTTTGTCCCCT